GGGAAAAAAATGAACTTAAATGATTTTAGCATATGGCTGCAATATAACAAAGTGTGAAAAATTTAAGGGGGTCTGAATACTTTCCGTAACCACTGTACAAACAACCCTCTCTGTTCAGGGTTTAGCTCCTTCCAGCAGGTGACACACACCTGCCACTGTGGTAACTATAGTACGAACCACCACTCTCAACTCACACCCTGACAACAGTATGACTTTAATAATTATGAACATTACTAAGAGCTTCAAAATTTCAATATTTAAAGTGCCTGTGGTAGCTAACCTACTGTACAAGTGATCAGTGTTAGCCTGTTGTTCTTTGCTGTAGCTAATTAACAAAAGTTATTTTTTCTGCACTTTCATAAAGTTACATCAAAGGCATTCACATTATAGTAGTAAACAATATGTTGTAAATTACAGCAGAGAGTGGAGTGTTGGTGTTAGCTGGCCAATGATATAACATTATGAAATCAAAATCATCAGCAGTGAAATAACCCTTTTCAATTAAAAACTGCATAGAAACAAATCATACTCTACTGTAGTTATTCAGTTTAACTGTAGGCTACATTGCAAGAGATGCCACTGATTCCCAAAAGTTGACCTTCAATATGGCTTCCAAAAGAGTCTGCAAAATAAGACTTCGAAACTGCATCTTTTTGGTGAAGGGCAGCTTCCCTAGCCATCACAATAAAATGCTATTCAAGTTTTCATATGATTAAGCAATTTTGTGTTAAATATAATAATACAAATAAAGCCAGATCTAACAGAACAGTTCTCTGAATTTTGCCTTGTGACAGTTGGATATAAGAAACATCCTCTTCACTTCATGCTTCTATATGCCACCATTACACATCACTAACTTTGTGTCTCCTCTCTCCCGTAGTGTGTCCTCTCTCTCTCCCTGTACCTTTCTGCAGGTTGCCCTGGCCCTGGAGCTCTAAAAAGCAGTCACCAGCCACATCGACCTGATCAGTGTTTGATTGTTGTGTCTTGTTGCTTTTCTTCTTTTGTCTCTCCTCTATCCACTCACCCCAACCGGTCGAGGCAGAAGGCCGCCCACCAAGAGCCGGGGTCTGTCGGAGGTTTCTTCCTTTAAAGGGAGTTTTTCCTCCCCACTGTCACCAAGTGCTTGCTCAAGGGGGATTTGTTGGGTTTTCCCTATGTAATAATATTGATAACAGTAAGGTCTAGACCTTACTTTGTAAAGTGTCCTGAGATGACTTTTGTTGTGATTTGGCGCTATACAAATAAAATTTGATTTGATTTGAATTTGATTCATTTTTACTTTGTCATGGGACTGTACGCCTGGTGATGGGTGGAAGAAGATACAATAATTACTGTATTATTTTATTTAATTAATTAATACAATACATTTATTTAAATGTCTACATAGCACACACATTACCAGTGCTTTGCTATGCAATAGCAATATTCAGTATATATACCATTTAACGTGAATGGTTTAACAAATATATTTTCTGAGCCAAGAGCAGATATACAGTAGACGGGGGTGGTCTGGGATGTGGTGATTCATTGTTGAGAGACCTGGAGGTTTTGTACGTACCTAACTGAACAAAACACTTGCTGTAGGAGATGCCCACTTGATGCCCACAATAACATGCTGTACCTGCACTCACATTTTAACCTTCAAGCTAAGGTTTAACTGGAATTGTAGACCTATTCCTGTTAGTGAGGAATATAGTGTGGGTGCTACTTTCTACCCCCCTTATTATTGTTCATAATCATGTTTTGTTCATTTTTTATCTTCATTCTAGTCAAGACATACACCGATCAAGCATAACATTATGACCACTGGCAGGTGAACTGAATAGCACTGACTATCTGTTACAGTGGCACCTGTCAGTGTGTGGTGTATATTAGGCAGCAAGTGAACATTCAGTCCTCAAAGTTGATGTGTTGGAAGAAGGAAAAATGGGCAAGTGTGAGGATCTGAGTGACTTTGACAAGGGCCAAACTGTGATGGTGAGATGACTGGGTCAGAGAATCTCCCACACTGCAGGTCTTGTTGGGTGTTCTTGGTCTGCAGTGGTCAGTACTGACCAACAGTGGACTAAGGAAGGGCAAATGGTGAACTGGTGACAGGGTCATGGACGTCCCCGGGTGATGATGAGGTTGACCTACAGTATATTAAACTTTTAACTTCCATTTGTATTTTTCAAAAATTTAAGATTTATTTGAATCTTTGTTAAAATGGTTGAAAATGAGAAATACTGTACATTGGTCTCTATGAAGAGAAAGAGTCGGGGGCTGTAGTGGTGATATCACACCTGGAGTGGTGAGGCTGTTGGATTGGTCTAAAACATTCTCTCTAACTCGTCCTCATGACCAGTTTTCATTCCTTTTATATAAGTTTCTCACTGAATTGTAGACACATCTGTGCTCTTCCTGACAGTAAAACTGTGGAAGCAAATGGATTCACAGAAGATGCACAGTAAGCTGCAGAGTGACACCAGTGCCAATCAACTGCCACATTGACCCCTATGTAAACAGTATTAGGCAGGTGGTCATAACTAAAGCAAGAAACCCAGTTAAGACAACTCCAAACCGCTACACTACAAACGCAACTGTGCCACGTACGTCATCTGGAGCAGTTCAGAATCAATATTTATCTAATAACATAACAAAAACATTAAAAAAAACTTAAATAAAATACATCATACTCACCAGAGATGCTAATTATTTATAGACAAAATCTATCCTCCTTCTCCTCCTGTCATTAGACCTGACCTCTGCCTTTCAGTTCCATCAGTAAGTCCTTTTCTATAGCCATGGAGCCAAGGCTGCGAGTCGACACTGTCCAGTCGTATTCCTGGCACAGGTTTTTATTCTCTTGGGGGCAGAGAATGTCCGCTCGACAGTTGCAGTGGATGTAGGGATAGTCACGGTCAGACATGCCAATCTGTACAGCCGCGCTGAGACAATCTAGCTAGCTAGCTTCGGGTTTGGCCGACCTCTCATCACGATGTCTAGCTTTTCTGTAGAAAGTCCGCCTTGAAAATTGATTTTTAAGAATGTCAGAGACCAAGTCAATTTCTCCTCCTCCGTCAGCCATTGTGGGCGTAAAAAATTCTAACTCAAAATGTATTAATGTGTGCTGATCGCTACAGACGTGTTTTGCTAGGTGAACTTGGCTGTAACAGTTTTGCTCTGACCAACCAATCAGAGGATGGAAAACTGCTGACGTTATTGTGTGAGGCGAATTTGAAATCTGATTGGTTAAAGAAACAGTCCCATTGCTAATATAGTTTAAGTTACATCGGCCAGCACTACTGATTCTGAAGGCCCTGGGCAGATTAGATTGGCATGGCAGCACATAGAGGCTGAAATCTGATTGGACTAAAAATGTAACATCCGCATACACGTACTGGAAGCGGTGCAGCCGAGAGAAACGCTACGAAATGAAGAGAATAGATTGCTGGGAATAAATGAATAAAATTTCATGGCACAAATATTAGAATTTAGGTTGTAAATGTAGGTCAGTGCTTCTGATAGTGTTTAGGCCAGCAGAGAAGGCCTTGCTGACCCTGACGGCCCACCACTGGTAAACAGCATTAGGCAGGTGGTCATAATGTTATGGCTGATCCGTGTATATCACAGGTGGGTAGCTGATATCACATTTGTTTCAGAAGAGCTGGCACATTCTCGCCTAACCCAGACACTTTGCCTCTTGTGGATTTCGGCCTTCGGATATCACAATGTGTCATCCAAGTGTTCGCCCTGTAGTCCAAAGTCCACACAATGGGATTTAGCCTTGGTGCGAGTGACTCACTGCTCAACATTATGTAAACTCAACTGACTACTGCTGCACATCTTTATTTAGTGGGTCTGAAACCACAGGTAGTGACAGGGGCTGCAAATTGTAGTGTGTGGATTTAAGGGGTAACTTTTGAAAATAATTTTATAAAAATACTACTACTGCCACTACTTCTAAAATTCACTATCTGCCAATTAAAAATAACAGCACCAGTAAAATAACAATGACACTAAAAGTCTATACTGATTCATAAAGGTTGGTACAAGCAAAACAAATTATTTTCATGGCTGTGCTTTAATGAGCTGGAAACTGTCTCTGCACTGAGTCTAGGCAAAGCTATGCACACATTTATACATGACAAATCGAATGTTTATGCAGTACAGTCAAAAGCTACACAAGATTTTAAAATGTGCTATCAAACACAATGTGATACACCGGGTTCACTAATTTATTCCTTTACACAGCGCCACATGAGCAGGCATACTCATTTGTCATTTGTTATAAAAGTATTAATTGTATGTCAACAACCACATGCCCTAGAGTACGCACAAAAAAAAAACAAACTGTAAATATAACTCCAGGCGCGTACCAAATTAAGTGAATAATTTCCGACCTGCCAGCTAGTGATGAACACAACTTTGTTCACAAATGAATACTAAGTACTGAGTAACTAAATACTGAGTACTAAATTTTTTGCCATGGTTTTTGTCTCTATTGCTGCTGGAACACAGGAATTTCCCCATTGTGGGATCAATAAAGTCCTAAAGTCCTACCTTGTCACTTGATAGGTGTGTCACTTCGCTTCAGTAGCCTAAAAATTGATTTTTGAGGCCAAACCCCATACATTTTCAATACACAGATGGCAACTGTCGAAATAAATTTAAAAAATAATCCATAAAAGTTAAGTTCAATAATATGGATCCCTTAAATTTTGCTTTCTGGAGCTGAAAAAGATGAGAGTGGGTAGAATAGGGGTGGGGGTTGGGGGCGTCCACTATCAAAAACTAAATGGCTTGTATTAATACTAGGAATAGTCAAATGCAGGCAGCACACACATTAGTTTGGGCTATTCCAAACATTTACGATTTGTAGTGTATGTTGTTTTCATTAGGTTGTGGTGTCAAGTGGTTGTTTCACTTCCATGCCAGATTTGCTGGCTGTTTCTAGTGTAACCATGCATGGCTAGCTCAACAAGGCAGCAATTTAATTTAAATAGTAATTTAAAAGAAATGTGCATTCCATGAAATCACAGAAAGATCTGCCAGTTTTAGTGCTTCAAAGCAAAGTTGTGAATCAGCTTCCATTTCCAGTGCGTTCATGCATATAAAAGCAAGTCTGTATTAAAAATAGTAATAATGATCCTTACAGGCGCTGATTAGGAGAAGCAAGGATTGTCTGATAGATAGCACAAGCACCTCATTATACAGTGTGTCATCATCCCACTAGTACTTTGGGGACAAAAGATTTCAACAAAGTATCAGCTGTAGAAATATAATATAAGCCTACTTGTAAAAGTATCAGCAGTGTGCCTTATAAGCTACATCATTCAAGAAAATTTATAATAAATCCATGTGGATACAAGAAAACTACTGTCATTGGTAATGATACAACTTGTATTAACTGCACTACTTCAAGTTAATAAATGACAGAGAAGGGCATGTTATCATGGACATTTGACTGTGGTGCATTATCAATTAAAGCCTTTGGCATTTTAATTTGAAAGCTATCCAAAGCTATTATTTTAATTGCTAACAAGCCCTCCTGGAAGCAACAGGCGCCTCTGTGGCACCACCATCTCCTGTGTGACATACTCCAGAGGTAGAGCAGTCATCTTTGCTGACAAGAACAATCACTGCATTTCAAGTGAGACTACAGCTGCTGCAACATTTAACCCTCTAGTCACACAATGCACCATTTGCCAGAATCCAACTCGCTGTAATTAGCCATGCACATAAAATGCCTCAGTGACATTTCTGACATACCAGCGGTTTGGATACTCACATTGATTTACAGAACATACAGTACACACTTACTGACACAGTCCTAATAGTCCTAATTCAGGAGCACAAAGATCGCACCGATAAAGGCACCATAAAGTCTGCTGTTAAGATACAACCCACATACATATCCCTCTCCAAACATGCAGCAAGACTGTCAGCAAACAAATGGAAAGCTGTTATTTCATGCAGTTACTCCTTTATTCTTTTTCTACAGTAGCTCTATGTATAATACACAAAGCTGTCACTCCACTGCTGGAAAAAATACACAGTGATGGACTCTCACGTTTTCTTCAACATGCTGGTGGGATCTTCAGCACTGCTTGTGAATGTAAACTAGGTGAGAGCATGGTGTTGTTACAGCACACATCTCATGGCTAAACCACTGCAAACATTGCTGCCTAAAAACCATGGCAAAGGCAGTTCAGGAGGCTGCAGGGTTTGATGACACCCTGGTACTAGAGTGGTAAATAGAAGTTTGTAAGACTGAGTGTGTGATCGAACCATTTTGTGAGGTCCAAATGCACCGACTAGTTTTCGGTTTTGAGGCGATTCTTCTTTTAATATATTTTATACATCATATATTGGTGCAGCAGTGTTGAGCACGAAGGTTCTGGGTTTGAACCAGTGGCGGGTTAGGTGCCTGAAATAAGGTCTGCGGTTAACACAAGCCCAATGCATTCTCATGTTTTTTCTGTGATATAAAATATATCAGTTAATACCCCACTCCTTATTTTTAAGCATTAAACACCATCCTGCCGAACACAGACACTAATCTACTCACTAGCCCACCTTGTGTTCATACTCACTCACCTGCAAACTATTCTAACTAAATGAACAAGCCATGATCACTAGCTAGATCAGGTCATGCTAAGAGGAAAGGATTTTGTAGAAGAGGTAAGTACACAAATTACATGTTGGAAGTTGTGGTGGTGACAGTGAAGTCATGGGACCATGATGTAGTTTATTTATGGCCTAACAATAGCTTTTTACCTCTGGCAATCATATTTCAGCTTCAAAATTCACAAAAGTGGTGTTCCCTTTTGAAGGCAAGATGTGAAAGTGTCATAAACCTTTGTCACAGAGCTTATTTTTTGCAACAACCTGAAAGCCTATGGAAAAATCCCACAGTTTTTTTGTTGAGGAAACCAGGGTGATACTAACTTCCAGGTTTGTCCCACAAAAATACATCATCCCACTGGCACTCTATGTTAGATGGGATCAGCTCCAGTTGCTCCAAATATCTGCAAACCAGTTACAGTATGTATTAGGGTTGATCCTTAATAGTCGAGTCAGTCAAGAAACCCTTCTAGCCAAGAGACTCTTCTAGTTGAGCCTTTGTTTTTAATTTTTTTTTTTTCTGTCAGCCAGTGTACATTACAATAGAAGGTAGCCCCAGCCCGCATTATCTTGTCAACTTCTTGTCCTCAAATTGGTGTGCCAAGCGGCAATTTGCTCACTGCTCCCCCTGTGGCCGGGGGGAAAATACCCACTTCAACAGTGGCACTGCCTGATACATGGATATACAATAAGGTCAGATCTATTTAGCAAATTGCAGAATGAGGAGAAAAAGGACAACAAAACCCACTAGGACAAGCCACATAAAGGTGAGATTTGCACATTATTAGAAGTGCATTTTCACCCTAACACATTCAAACAACGTGGTCTACCTTTACAAGATAAAATACTGTCACGACGATGTGGTTGGTCTTGCATAATGTTATGCGAGTGCAGTCTGTTTACCCATCTCTGTTAAAGTGCAATGCACAGGCATTTACTGTTTCTGAGACATGCATCCATCTGAACGGGACTAGGAAGCTAACAAAAATGTGCAGGGAAAACATTTCAATGAGGAATTATGAATGAGAGGAATCATTAGCAGTGCACAGAATAGCTGACTGACAGTCGACTTAATCAGGTACAGCCCTAGTATGTATTTTGTCTAACTGTCATTTAAGTGTAAGGCCACAGTGAATCAGCTCAGGTACCTTTCCTGAGTCTGCTTCTATCCACATATCCTAGTACTGGGTGCAGTTGCATTGCCTCTCTCAGCCAGTGAAAGGATCAGCACAGGCTGGGTGGGATAATCCCCATTGTGCTAATCTGAGAGACTAACCTCTGGGTAGCCACAAAATTGACTCACTGAAAAAGTGAGCTTTGCTGCTGAGCATGTCCCCCTCCTGGCTTTTGGTTATCTTGCCATTCAGAATGGCCTCACCTTACCAAAGCAGCCATGATCCAAATTGAAAGGGACAACCTTAGGCCTGGAAACAGGTGAGTCATTTGAGTTTTGTCCATATTGCCTTTGGGTAACAACATGACACAATAGCTTTAGGAGACATTAAGCTGACAAAAATAATTTCAGATTTAGCAA